ACAAGTTGCAAAACAACCAGCACTTTTAGTACCTGTACAAATGGCAAAATTAAGGATTTCATCTTTCTAGTATTTGAGCTCACACTGTTCCTGGGCTGATACATCAAATAACCTTGCTCTGACTGTGCTTTTCTTACATTTCCAGGTCTGAAGAAGTGGGTAGAAATTGGAAATTCTGGTGTTTTCCGACCAGAAATGCTGCTTCCAATGGGACTTCCTGAAAATGTGTCAGTTATAGCCTGGGGTTTATCTCTGGAAAGGTAAATCACAGAGAAAGGTTTACAATAAACCTTATTTCTGTCTAACCCTCCAAAAACAATTCACATAGAAAAAAAAATGAAACCTTGTAAGTTTTATTGATGTTTAATATGCATAGTATCTTTTCTTTGAGAAAACTATAATTGTAACAAGTTACATTAAGTAAAAGATATTTTGAAATCAAACACCTTTCAGATCGGTGTATTGTTTCCAAACTGAAATGGATCCTATTCAGACTTTATAGGTTTGAATTCACTGTATTGATTTTTATCTTGCAACACCACTTGCATTGACCGAATAAATGTCACCCAATAAACCAAAGCTATATTTGGTTAATGCCCTAATATAGCCTTGTGCATTTTGATATCTTTAAAAGAATTGTGAAATCATCAAAATTACGTCAATTCACCATGCGTCATTGTTGTGCCTTAATTTGTTGAGAATAGCTTGTTTTGGAGGTCAATTTTAAAACAATGCTGCAGGATAAACAAAATACAATGTACATGATAACTGTCTTGAAATATTAGCGATATTTGGGCTCAGGTCGAAAACATGATAGAGGGCTCAGTAAGCCTCGCCTCTATCACATTTTCTTGCTCTTGCCCAAATATGGCTTATATTTCAAGACATTAACCAAGTATTTTTATATGTATACATGTATATATTGTAATTGTATTTTTGTTCAACTTCTTTAGTTGTAATGTTGATCAAATGTAGTAACAGTACTTCTTATCATAACCCCTGCTTGCTTACAATCAAAGAGTATTAATTTTTTTTAATGAATTTTACAGGCCAACAATGATTAAATACAAGATAGATGATATCAGGACTCTCATGGGACCAAAAGTCAACTTACAGATGGTGTATGACAACCCAGTTTGTCTTCTGGACAACTAAACAGACTTATTAAGCTATATTCTCATTTGTACAAATACAATGCATTATTTATATAAAAAGATACAAATCCACATACATGTTCTGAGTAATGCAAAGGTGTTGGGGTCACAAGCTAAGTACATGTAGTGTATGTTCAAAAAATCTTCAGAATATCAGTTACCTGAGCAAGAAGCTCAAATGAGCTTTCCTTAGTTTGGCCTGAAAATGTATACATAATTATGAGTATATGTATATGTGTATATATATAACCTATGAATATACATGTATGTTAACTTTTAACATTTCCTGCAGAAACACAGGCCAACAAACTTGCAAGAAGGCATCTCTGGGTGAAAGGAATTCAAATGTATACAAATGAAGGAATATGTTCTTCAAAGGGAGATAATCAATATTTCTTGCAGAAACTCTCATGTAGTCAAGATTCAATACCTTCACAAACTTGCCCTAAGGGCTAGGGTAGACCACAATAGGGAAGTCAGATTTTTGCAAAGAAATATATGCAAATGAAAATACTGGTATTCAGAGTAAATAAAAGCATTCCCAAATGGTGTAGAATTGGTGTAGAATCAAGCTCAAATATGGTCAAAGGCTTTAGTGGGACCACAATAAGGGAATTTATTTTACACAAAATTATACAAACTTTCAGGAGAACAAAAGACTACAATTTGTACACCTGACATGGTGCCTCAATATACTGTCAATACATGTACTAGAAAGATTTGGCTTGTGTGCTTGAGCTTTGAGAACATCCTTTTATGTATTGTAGTCTTGCCCTATATAAGGACATTTCTTGTTTTTAGGTCACCTGAGTCACTCAGGTGACCTATTGCTATCTGTTTTCGTCCGTCGTGCGTCGTGTGTTAACATTTGAACATTTTCAGCTTCTTCTCTGAAACCGCTGAACCAATTTCAGCCAATTTTTGCATATGGCATCTATGTGTGAAGGGGAACAAAATTTGTGAATTTCATGGTCCTTGCCCCCCTGGGGCCTGAGGGGTGGGGCTAAAACCATCAAAATTTATGCAATCTTTAAAAATCTTCTTCTTTACTCCTGGACATCAAGCAGTCAAACTGTTGACATGATTGTAATAAGCATTGAGCCCTCTACCAAAATTGTGAAATTCATGGCCCCAGGGTCAGGGATTCTGGTGCTAGGGCGGGGCTATATAGATCATATAGTGAAAGTGCATTATTTCTTTGAAAATCTTCTTCTCTACTCCTGGGTATTATTGAAACAAATTGAATACATAGTTATGATAAGCAAGGGTGACTCTACCAAAATTTTGAAATTCATGGCCCCAGGGTCAGGGGTTCTGGTGCTAGGGTGGGGCTATATAGATCGTATAGTGAAAGTGCATTATTTCTTTGAAAATCTTCTTCTGTACTCCTGGGTATTATTTAAACAAATTAGATACAGAGTTATGATCAGCAAGGGTGACTCTACCAAAATTGTGAAATTCATGGCCCAAGGGTCAGGGGTTCTGGTGCTGGGGGGGGGGGGGGGGGTATATAGATCATATAGTGAATGTGCATTATTTCTTTAAAAATCTTCTTCTCTACTCCTTGGTCTTATTGAAACAAATTAAATACATAGTTATGATAAGCAAGAGTGACTCTACCAAAATTGTGAAATTCATAGCCCCAGGGTAAGGGGTTCTGGTGCTGGGGGGGGGGGGGGGCTATATAGATCATATAGTGAAAGTGCATTATTTCTTTGAAAATCTTCTTCTCTACTCCTGGGTATTATTTAAACAAATTAAATACATAGTTATGATAAGCAAGAGTAACTCTACCAAAATTGTGAATTTCATGGCCCCTGGGTCAGGGGTTCTGATGTTAGGGCAGGGCTCTATTTATTATATAGTGAAAATGCATTAATGCTTTAAAAATCTTCTTCTCTGCTTCTGGGTATTATTTAAACAAACTAAGTACATTGTTATGATAAGCAAGGACACCTCTTCCAAAATTGTGAAATTCATGGCCCCAGGGACAGGGTTCTTGTGCTAGGGTGGGGCTATGTAGCTCCTACAGTGAAGGTGAATTATTTCTTTGAAAATCTTCTTCTCTGCCCCTGGGTAGGATTTAAACAAACTAAGTACATTGTTATGATATGCAAGGATGCTTCTTCTAAAATTGATAATTTCATGGCCCCAGGGTCAAGGGTTCTGGTCAAAAGGGGGGGGGGCTCTATTGATTATATAGTGAAAAATCAAAATTTCTTTGAAAATATTCTTTTCTGCTTCTGGTTAAAAAGCAAAGAAGCTAAGTATATAGTTATGATGAGCAAGAGTGTTTCTTCCAGAGTAGTGAATTGCATGACCCCTGGGTCAGATGTGCTGGTATAAGGGTGGGGCTGTTGATAATGTAGTGAAAATGCATTAATTCTATTAAATAATCCTTTCTGCTCCTTAATGTTAAGCAGTTAAACAATGTGATTACTTATGATGAGCAAACTTGAAACTTCTGGTCCCAGGGTGAGAGGCTCTGGTATTTCTCGGTGGTGAAGGGGGGGGGCTCTATTGATAATATAGTGAATCTCTAGTGAAAATGCATTATTTCTTTAAAAATCTTCTCTGCACTTGGGCATATCAGAGGCAAAAAGTGTAAAAGTTGTAATAAGGAAGGGTATTTTTACCAGATTTTTGAACATCTGGACCATTTGGTCAAGTGTTCTGGTCCTAGCCAGGGCTCAATTAATTTGCATTCTACTGAGAGGAGTTATTCCCCTTTGCCGTTTACTTTTGGTAATTAATCATTGTAAATAATGTACTTGAAAAATTAATAAAATAAGAGAATTATGCAAGAATTTTTATTGTATAATACAAAAAGTTTTTTCATAGTTTTAATGATCATGTGGACTTGTAAGTAATAGATAAATAAAAATGAGACAAAAATAACTTGTCTTATTAAATGTTCATCAAAGACAAAGAGAGGCCAATGTAAGAGATTACAACAAGGAATTAAAATAGTACAAAAGCACTGATAGTTTGTTAATATATTGTATGGTGATAGTGATAAATGGGGACTAGATTAGAACCTAATTTATGAACTGTTAATAAATAGTAGACTAATTATTTTGTTGATCCTGATCACCCTATTTTTCTTGCTTTTGGGCAACAAAGCTTCACCTTTCATTTCATTTTAATACTCTATGGATCCTCTAAATTGTTGTATTGTACTCAGGTGACCGTTAAGGCCCTTGGGCCTCTTGTTATGTACAGCACTGTTTGTATGGTGAGGGCAGTACTCTTGTATGTCAGTGTTCCATCCTATTCATAATGTAATGGAAGCAATAAAGGAGAGGTAAACAAATGAAGTGAGACCTAGATCTTATGTATGAATTTTTATATTTAAATGATTAAAACTTGAAACCTATACAATATCTAGCTTTTAAAGTCTTTTAAGCCATTTTTATTTTACCTTGTATAATCTCAATGTCAAACATGAGTAATACTATGAAGAAACGTTTTTTAATGGTGCATATTTATAAAGCTTACACAAGGCTGAACAATGGGTTAGATAAACTAACGCCCCCCCCCCCCCCCAATTCATTCAAAGATTTTGTTGACCTTTACCAGAAAATACTTTACCTAGTGACACTCTGTGTTCAGGTGTTAGACACTGAACTAAGATCACTAAAAAGATCCTTGACCTTGATTTAAAAATAAGAACAGAAATCACTCCAGCTACTTTTTTTTAAGAATACTTGCTGGGTAAAGTACAGTGTATACTAGTATATGGATAAGATTAAACCAATGAGGCAGAAAATAATTCTGTACTTTATAACGAAGTAAATTTACCTTGTATATCAAAAACAGTTCATCTCCTCAAATAAACAAGATAAATTTTCATTGAAAGGATTTATTATACACTGTGATGAACCAGCATCATCACTTGCATACAATCATCACATTGTTTAAATAAATAAATTTCATCAAAATCATAAGGTCTGTACCTTCTAAATTCTATATGAAAATCTCTGTAAAGGTCAGTCAAAACCGGTATGAAGAATTGTGTTACAAATGGCTTATATTGTTCCATGAAGTAAATATGATGAGCTCTGCCATTTATATGTCCTTAGGCTTCAATATCAGTTGCACCAACATATATTAGCTTCCATTTTCTTGAGTCAGAAATGAACTCTTTACAGTATGACTGGATAAAATTCTTGTCTAAAAATTTTTGAGTGTTAAATCAAAAACTCGAAATTAAGCTGCTTCTGTTAAATATCAACTTTTCAGTGCAGTTTCCTTCACTGTATGCCATGCTGGGACAGACCTTCTTCCCAGCTGCCAAAGACCATGAAAAAGAAGAAAATTCCTTTAAGTAGGTTAATATTTCAATGATGGGAGAAATTGATGTTTGTAGTCAAGTGAAACACAATCCAATGTACCCAAGTAATTTATAGCAGCAAATGCTTTTTATCTAAAAGCCTGCATGTTCCACCTTGCAGGGTAGATGGCTCAAACAATAGAGCACCTTTAATATTTAAAACATTAAATGTATCAAGAAAATTTTGACAGTTACATTTAACAAGCCAACACAACATATATCAGTTGACATCAAACGGACATTATAAATGTACAGACTTAAAACAAAGGGTAGGAAATTAATTCATTTGTAGTCAAAGGAAAAAAATATTTGTTTGAACAAAAGTTTAAGATAAACCATCTTCAAATGAGTAATGTCTGGTCATGAGAGGCCAGAGCAGATATTTTTTTTTTACACGGAGGAACATATAGTAAAACACGCTTATAACAAAGTACCAGGGACAGACAATTTTGTTTCATTATATGCATAATCTGGTTAAGTTTATAATATGCTTTTTATGTCACAGGGAATGAAAATCACTTCGTTGTAAGCATCATTTCATTAAAAGTGTGCTCCTTATAAGAGTGTTTTACTGTACATGGATTTTGAATAACATAATTCAAAATACAATATTTTCCCACAGATTTGACAAATAAGACAACATTTTTACTTCTTTCAAAATTTGATCAGTCAAAACTAGGACTAGCAAATAGGGAATATGTAGATATTTCACAGCCATGAGAAAAATATCGATGAAACCTTAAAATTATTTACTGAGCTATTGTCACAATTAAAGCTATTAAAATCTCTAAACACAGCACTGAAGGTAAATTAAGATGGATTTCATATCACAATGAATATGGTAATACTCGCATCATGAACACAATGCCACAGTTCTCAACTCATTCTCCTTTACCATAATTAAGTCAGAAAAACCAAACTTAAACACAATTACCAAAGTAAAAAATAATGTTAATTCAAAGTATTCACAATATGTCTCCAATGACCATTTGATACATGATATGTGTACTGTAATATATGGTGCTGTGATATTTCATAAAAACTTGCTGCTGAATTAGTGTAGGAAAAGCTTAAGAACACAACCCCAGAAGTTATTAATTCTATAATCACATGAATCCACAAGGTTTTAAGACTGAAAACAAGCAAATATTTTTTTTTTTAAATCTAATGTAGTTCTATCAATGGCACAGACATTAGTCTATTAAAAACAGCTCTACATTAAAGATGTTATTACGATAAACTAATTAAATTAATTTAAAGCATATGAATCACAATTCCAAAACATCAATTGTCAATTAATTTTAAAAAACAAAAAAATGGACAACAGCCCCTTCCATACAAGTTTAAAAATGCACACCATACATATTTTGTTCACAACTGGCATCAGATGAAGTAAATTTACACTACTGATCTAATACTATCAAATGATGAATCAGTGGTAAATGTTAATTAAATCTAGCAAATTCATTAAATGTAAAAATGACATATTTCCCATACTTCACCCTGATTGGCTGAGACAAAGTCCTCTCCTGGATATAATCACTGATTCAAAAGTAAAATATCGTACTAAATAGGACATTTGAAACAGGTAATTATGGAAAATTATGTTCAGCCACATTCCCTAGTAAAATAAAAGTTTTTAGTATTTCAAGACTGTCACTTGGTAAGCAATGTGGTCTATAATGACAGTATGTTCTTCCTTCTTAATTTTATCCCAACTTAACAAATAATTCCAAATAGCTTTAAATTTGCTCAATGCCCTTATATATTTTATGACCTTTTGCCCTTTATTAATGCATCTTTGTTTTAAAATTCACCCCCTTCAGGATTAGGGTGAATGGATCAAAAATCATGGACTGCTGACATTTTTCGTGTGAGCAACAAATACTAGAAACTTGTGTGTGATCACCAGAACTTAAATATTCTACTTTACTATTATTCACAGAGCTTGAGATCATATAAATAACAAATGATGTACATGTATCAATATTAAGTTAATTCATAACAATCAATAAAATATTTGCAAAAAATAACACAGGTATTAAATCATCTTATAATCAACTTATAACAAGAAAATTTTCTAGGAATGCTTGACTATATCTGTTAAAAATATAATAACTTTTATAAAGATGAAATGGTGAAAAAAGCAAAGCTTTTTAAGTAAAAATTTGCTATATAAAATGATGATATGTTTTCGTATGACAGTATTACAAAATGACGGGGGAATGTTGACAGAAATTTATCACAACACATTACCACAACTTTTGTACACGTATAAACCCAGGACAACATATCTCTAAAACTGTTCATTAAATTCCTGCACACCCTTTGTTAGTCGGCCACTCTTTGCGTCAGAAATTGCACCCCAAAGGTCAAATACAAAATCGTCCGTGAAACCAAAGTCTTTAAGTTCCGAGTTGTCCACTGCCATAGCGAAATCACTTGGATTATCCTTCTTGCTTCCTAACTCCCATATTGTTTGAGCTGTGGGCAAAAAATAATTAACATCATTCATAAAATTCACAGATTGTAAGTTAAGAATAAAGCTTTAAAAGCTTTTATTTATTATAAATAATACCTTATAGTGGGTTTCTTTAGCGGTTGTAAAATTTGGTGTTTTGCTTGTTCAAAGGCATGCCAAAAATTTTCGCACAACTTTTTTTGGCAGACAAGGAGTTTTGTGATTTTGCAAAAATGATAAAACTAACTTTTAGATGAGTTTCAGTACATTAAATATATTTGTTTGAATACCAATTTACGCAAGAGTTTGAGCAAATACCAGTGCCAGTTGAAAGATATAACATTTAACAGCAGACTGATCAAAGGTATTTAAGTTATTTTTTTTGTATTTAGTACCTATAAGCAAGAGTGCAAATTTGGCGATTAAAATTCTAACCGCTAAAATAAGCTAAAGTTAGCACCCCCCTAAAAATTCCCGCTATACAGTAATCTAGCGATAAATAAATTAAATGCTACAAGGGGTTTCTTACCAGTTATATTATAAAACCCCAACCCACCCCCACAATCAATGCATGTCTTTATTTGGCCAAACTTTGCTGACACCTTTTAAAGATTGATTTATTTCATTAACATACCAGTTAAAAGTTGGTTTTCAAGAACACAAAACATGACTAAAATCTGGTATTTTTAAATAAGAATTTGAATGTTTACTAATGTCACTCTGATGTTTATAAAATAACCCACAGGTAAATTTGAATTGTTTGTGAAATTTGAAACCTGCCGTCTGTCATGCTGGGGGTGTTTAAATCTGCTGTTGTTAAGGAGCAGTGAAACTTACAGGTAAAACCTGAGGCTGTAAAACTGCCATATACATGATATCATTGAAGAAAAGAGAAAAAAAATTAACTTCTAGAAATATCTAGAAAACATCACTCCTAGCTAACCATATCACTCAATAATAATATTTCTGTTCAGTAATTACTGGGTAATATTATAAGCATGATTTAGAGGCCATGTGTGTAGGTTTTGCCTACCTGACACATCTCTGTTTGTATAGTGTAGACTTACCTAATTCTGTATCATTGATTCCCATGAATGATTCCAACAAACCATTTACTTTGTCAACTGCCACATTCACTACATCATCAGGCTGAAAATACACACACATTATCAACATGTTACAATTTCTGAGCACCTTAAATTCCTTCAATTTTAATTTTTTTCTTCTTCATCAAATTACAAAATATTTTAAAGCATATGCATCAAATAAGAACTCTTTTTTGTCTAATGTTGTCTGGTGGAAAACCAGTGACTGATAAAAATGTTCTCACAGTAGCTTATACATGTATTTAAATGTAAGGGGGGGGGGGGGTTAAATTCATTTCACATTTCAACTACAGAAATTGGACAAAGGTCCATGCATAGATTTATGAAAAAGGTGAACGTTAATTATATATGGAGCAGAAGAACTGCAGTGTCCTGTAGACCAAAACCTTTAATATTCATAAATATTACCCGTCATACACTTAAGGCTACATAAAATTGAAATTATGCTTCACAGGCCTGCACGCATCCGTTTTGAGGTAGCCACATTCCAAATTTTATCGTATTTTTGATAAAATAAAAAGTTGGTAATGCGGAAACCAATCTGGAAAAAGAGTTCTGTCCTCATTTTCTTGTACAGGGTTCGACACTCGTTAAAATTTGGTCTCGCCATTTGGGCAACCTTGGTACTGATTTCAGGTTGCCCGAATGAATTCCAGGTTGCCCGAACAAAATATCAAAAGAAACAAAAATGTGCAATTGTTTAAAATTTGTTAAGATAACAGAAGTTGTGCTATTATAAAATATAAACCAGACATTTTTGGAATATCAAAGCTGTCTTCCAGTATTTTATCAAACAAAGAAGACAAGCAACAAATATTAATAAGCAAAATCAGAATGCTAATCTAAGGCTTTAAAAAATTATGTTTGCTTCATGTATAATATTCCCAATAAATCAAGGGTTGGTAGGATGGGATTTTATTTATTTATTTATTTAATTTTTGCTAATATACAATCTCACCTCACATATTGACACAAAATAAAGTTTCTAGTTTAAAACATTCATTTTCACTTACCAAAAAGGCCTAAATAAATGGGGTCAAACAACCCTGGACTGAATTAACCAGGTGTGATGTTTACAGTGGACACCCAACATGGCTTTTTAGCAGCAGAAAACGAACATCAGAAAGTTGTGGGGGAAATGCTAGATGTTACAATAATGATCATTACTCTTTATATTTATGGTGATTGTTGACTAGGTTTACATATTTTATATCTCAAATAAAACTTAATTTAACACTTTTGGTAAAAATTACATCAGCTGATTGATCAAACACAGATTTGGCAGAAAGAAAAATCCAGCGGCTGCTAATTGAATGGGGCGGTCGGGTTACAGCTAGGAAACAATGTTTTCAAGGCCTTTTAAAGTTTATTTTAAAATATTAAACATCATTATTGAATATTCCCAACTCGTCCCAGATTGTCATTTGGGCGAGCCAGACTGAAAATCAGGTCGTCTAATATCAATCGGGTGAAAATGACGAGGTGACGAGCGTGAATGTCGAACCCTGCTTGTAGTTAAATAGTAGTAGTAATATCACTTCCGGTAGCTATTTTCAAAGAGAACTTGGCTACTTTGTTTAAAAATACACTTGAAGATAATGCCTACGATGTTCACACGTTGATTAGCAATGGATAATGCAAACCTATTGATCAGACATGGAAAGTATATCATGAACAAAGAATTTTTATCTTAATTGTATAGAAAATTAGGGTATTAAAAAATACCTCCCTCATCTACTTCGTCACCAATAAAATGATTAAAAAAAAAAAAAAGCCTCCCACCTGCATCTGTTTTGGAGAAAATTGGCCTGAGAACCAGAGAATTAAATTTATGTAGCCTCATATTATTATAGTTTGAATTAAAGACTTGTTGAATTTCCATTATGGACTGGATGTCACCCAATACAAGTTCTAATTGGCCCTTGTCTTGTAGTAACAGACAGGACAGATTACACAAACAAGCTTGTATTATATGTTTGTTATCTCAAGCTTGTGTCCATAATCAAAGATAAACTGTCACAATAAACTAAAGGTCAGGAGCTACCTATCACTGATTGTACAACTCAAGACTATGACCATGATGGCATATTATACAATCTGTCCACTGAATATCTGAAGCATTTTACTGCCTCCCCAGAATAAATCATATCTCTTAAACTTATATCCCTGACACTAAAAACTCTGATGTACTCCCAAAAAAGTGACTGGATTCCATATAAAGCTGTCCAGCAAGCAGCTAAGATGTCCCTTGATTTGTCTGTGTCCAGATTTTTTTTTCTGCTGGGGAGTTTGTCAAAGGTCAACCAAAACCTACGTTTTTATCTTGGTCGATTAGTTTAACCAGAATACCTTAGGTATGAATAAACAGTGTTATCAGTCTAGCAATGTATCACTCTCGTATCTGATGAGAACAACACTGAGGAGACATTTCCTCCATGATGAAACAGATCAATGTCAGGTACTCTATACACAGTGTAGTCATACATTACAGGAGACTTGTTTAATTAGCCTTAATTATCTCATTAACATCAGCCTTCATTTCCTGCACTTCACATCTTTGGTTAAAATAAACTTGGTGAAATTTTTGCTTATCAACTTAATGTACTGGTATAAATAATGCTTCATTGCTTAATATAGTAAGAGACATTTGGGAACTGTACAGGTGTCATTTTACAGAAACACATGGAAATTACCTGTGATATCATAAACCATACCAAAATTTTATGTACACATACATGTAACTTTTTTTTTTAACTTCTGCTTTAGGCCAAACAAAAAAATATGTGTGGTTCCGGTTACACTTCCAAAAAAATCAGGGTAGGTAGGTAGGGATTTTTTTTTCTTTTTCTTTTCTTTTTTTTTTTTTTTAACAAAATGATTTTCTTCATTTTTTCTAAATAATACCTATCACTGCTTTGCAAATGACATTTAGATGTGGTGTGATAATATACTAGTCAATATTGGTAGGGGACACCTACATGCTAGCTTGCTTTGGATTTAACACTATTAAACACTTGCACTATGTTTTGCAAGGAGGCCGTCATTGCTGAAACTAAAACTTAAACTGGAGCCATTGATGGAAATTGGGGGAAATTCTGGAAAAAATATGAAAATTGCCAAAAAAAAGTTTAGGGTCGGGGGTATAAAATAGGGAAGGTCGGGTAACCGGAACCACACATATTTTTTTATTTGGCCTTATTATAAACGACATCAAAATATTCAAATAAGAAATATTACTTCTCTGAGTTAAACAAAGATAAGAATATTCAATATCTACATGAATGAATGTGACAACAATTTTAGATGAATGCATTTTATGTCACTGCTAAACTGTATCAATTTTACCAGTAAACCATTATAGATCTTTATTACTTTATGCATTGATATGGCCAATGAAGTTCAATGCTGAATGGTGACAAAAGTAAAGTACATGTACCATGTACATATGGTAAATTATAAATTTATATGTACAAAGTTAACCCTTTCTGTAATACTCACAATTTCCACTGTGGCAGGCCCTGATGATCTAAGTCGTAATGTCTGCTTGCCTGATCCTAAATTTCCACTTCCCTTTTTCCCACTGGATTTCTCAACAAAAGCTACGAATATAAAAAGGTAAATGTGACCAAAGTATTTCTAACCCTACCTTGAAGTACTTACTGTAAACATAATTTATCTAAAACAATAAAAACTTGTCACAGAATCACAACATTACAGGGACTAACTGGGGCAGAAACAAGCAAGTCCACTGTAGGTTGAATTTTTGGTGACATCTGTACATGAAAAACAACACAAACAACTTAGTGGCTTACAACAGAAGGTTCCCATTTGCAGTTATTGTTTTAATTGTTTTTTATCTACCACTTTTTTTTCTCTCAGTAAGATATAATTGGTAGATGGAATAAAGCTTAATAAGTATATAATATTTGACACTAATATTTTCTTAAGTGCGAAAAACTTGAACCAGCTGTAAAAAAAAAAATCTTTCAGTTGGAACATCTTTATAAACAGCTTAAAAATGTTTGATTTGAAGTGCTTATCAAAAGATGATTAAACAGATCTTCTTTTTTTTTTTAAATATTTTTTAAACTGCTCTATGAAGGTAATCATATTTAAAATGAAAAGAGAACCGGATCAAAATCACAATATAAAACACATGTTTTACCCATACTTGCTGCATGATCAGATGATAAAACAAACTGCATCATATTTTTTGCTAAAATTGTATTGTCAAATGCTTTGCCTTTTTTTTTAAATAAAAACTCAGCTAGGATATTGTCAAATAATAAATATGCTTTAGAAACAAAGAATCATATTCACTTTAAACACTGATCACCAAAAATCCAACCACATGACGTCATTTACCCCCCAAAAAATCAAATTGGAAGAATTTTCAATAATAAAGGTTGTTTTCAAAGTTAAAAGATGCTGATCTACAAACGGCAAACCAAACTTTTAAAAACAAAACAAAACAAAACAAAACAAAACAAATATATTCTAAAGTACAAATAAAAAGTTTATAGTGCTTAAATACACATGAACTTCATACTGAGATCAAAATGCACTTACAGAATCCTGACTTCATGGGCTCCACGACACGAATGAGAAATGTTGTTCCTTTAGGAATCTCCTTCAACATCTTAGCCACCTCAAAATGCCTGCAGCCCACTAAACTTTTGCCATCAATTTTTTCTATATGATCACCAACTGAAATCAGTTCTTGCTTGTCCATAATACTGTCCTCTTTTATTCGTTTGATAAACGCGTACCCAGCACCATTGTCTGTTATGGTCAGTCCTAATGCATCTTGGGACTTTGTCACCTCCATTTCTTTGGGGCGACCTTTGATATGGGCAAATATAAAATCCTCCAAACCAATTTGCCCACCCAACAATCTGGACATATCCACTTTGTGTGTATTCAATGTACAAAAGAGTATCTGAAATTATAACAGAGTTTTAATTACTGTGCATCATAGGACTCTATTAATTAAGCCAAAGTTTAGTATTTAGTATTTTAACATTATATTACTGTTCTAGATACTCTATAAGTATTACATTTACACACATTACATTAGTTTAGTGTTACAGGAACTAAATTCTGTCACCTTGCATTGCCAAAGCACTAACACAATCTGGATACCTCATAAAATACAGAAAAGTTAAATGAGAAACCAATGTACAGTTTTATTTTCCTGATTTAGAAGGTATTATGATAGAAGTTGTTATCATTAGTAAAAATGGCACATTAAATATGGTAGATATTTGAATGACATTTGTTTAAGTATTGTATATATATAATATCTGTTAATGCCTCTGTACAATGTGTTAGGATTGATCAAATTCACTGTATTAATTTACTTGTGCTAACAGAAAGACTGAAAATAGCATAATCTGTATCCATAATTAATCAACACTGAATTAAGCCTAATTAATTCAACACATATGAAGTACTGATCATTGACCCATACAATCTGTGACAGTATCTGCAAACTGTCATCTGAGAAATCATAGATTTATCAAACTGAGAAGTGAAATTTGAGAAAAATCTCAACCATCTCATCCTAGTTTTTACATAATAACAGTGTATATTGGATGATATAATCAAAATTAAAAACGAGTTAATATATGTACATGTAGCTGTGGCTGTGTATAGTCATGACATATACAATTATATAAATATGTACAGTATGCAAAAGCATATATAAATAAGGTGGGGTCATACAGAGGCTAGCCAGGAACTCCATATTTATACCTGTCCTTTTATTGTCAATCAGTCCAAAGCATCAGCTTTCATTTTTTCATATTACCTATAAATCCAGTGTTCACTCAATAGGCAATGTCTACTATCACCATAGATACCCAATGTGATGTTTCTCCTACTGTGCTTTTATTTATTGATTTCATATCAGTTTTAAATATTCTTATTTGAAATGTAGTACCATATTATTGACTGTATGTTGTCATGACTAACATCTTCATTAACTATACAGAGTAAAACCTGACTGAAATTATTTTGACCAAGTAGAAGATTATCAAAGAAGAATATCTACATTGTAGAACATATTTATGAGGAGATAGATTTGCTGATCATTGAACATAGTCCCTCCTTATATGTCCTTTTACTATACATCTCTTTATACTGTACATCTCTTTATACTGTACATCTCTTTTTACTATACATCTCTTTAAAAAAAAAATATATTTTTCTCCTCCCTTATCTCAGTTTTCCTCTCGTTGAATGATTTCTACCTTTTCATGTTCTTTTTTTGATTTTATCCTGAACCCACGTACCTTTACTAAGGAATCCCATGACTCACATTTTTTAGTTCAAGTGTACAATCGGATTCTATTTTGTTGCATAACATTTGTTGATGTTAGTAATGAAATGGGAAACATTATTTCCTAATCAAAATCACTACACATGTGATAATGCAATTGGTAACATCTATTGTCTAAAGTAAAACTTCTAGTGGAAAATAAAGTGTACATGTAATAGCGATCTTCAAATTTTTAAATGTGATGTTGAAAGTACTACGCTTTTATAATTGTGTACATGCATTTAATCATCAGTACAAGGTTAATTCTCTGTAAAAGTGTAGCATATAACCCATGTGGCATACATTAGTTTACTAATGCTACCTTAATTCAAATTGGGATGAGAGTTATCAGGACCTCAACACTATAGCAGGATCCATTTCATAACTTTATTGCTCATAAGGCTATATACATTTATCCAGGGCCATTTTTTAACCCTTATGGTAAAATCAGCAATCCTGAGCTGACTCCACTACGATCTTTACAAACCTCAGATGTGACTGGTGGAGGAATATGCATCAAATGATACATTTCTCCGACGGAACTGCCTTTTAATTCAATTCATATTTTACACTGCATAAAGTTTTCCAAAAAAGTTTCCTATCTTGTCTGATTCTTCCTTGTATATTGGTTTTTCAAAGGAATAATATTTGGAAGAATTTCGGATTGGGTCAAATGATTGTATTTGCAAATTGGTAGCACACTGTTCATGAGAGGTATGAGCCATCCGAGGAGCTCTGAGTGCTTATGGTAAAGAGGGGATTCAAAGACTCATACCACCCACCCAACTTCAATCACCCCAAAAAGAATGAAAATTGAATGATAATATCAGTCAAGGATGATTTCTAGATATTCAGTTTTAAAAAACAGTGACCTGTGACTTCAGTATTCAAACCAATAACCAACTGTCAGGCAAAGCATGGAGCTATACACATTACTTACAAGTTCAAATAATGGTCTAGCTTTTAGTTCTATGTACCACGACATTTAAAATAAACATTAAATATTTAACACATGAACCTAGTATAACTTTAAACGTAATTAAAATGTATGTGTTCCATTTTTTGAATAACAAATAGAGAGTAACTAATACAAAAACAAATGAAAGTAAATAATACATCATCTCACTTACTTCTGAAACAGGTAAATCATAGCAATCGGCTATTTTCTGGTATAGTTCTTTCACGTTGGTGAACCCAGAGATAATACCCGTTGGGCTCCCATGAGCCTGCTGACAGTGGAATACTAGTTTAGGACGGGGCGGCTGAGGAGGAGGCTCATTCTTCTGTACCGCTGGTTGTTGTTGCGTTGTACCATTAGTGTCAGGTGTGTTGTTCCCCTCCGCTGGGCGGGGTCCGTCATTTCCCGTAGAATTTTGTGAATACTCCACGAGATTGTCTTTACTTTTATTCTTTTTTCCGAATATTTTATGCATCCTTTCTAAAATAAAAGTCCAGATATCTCAATAAAACCTTTCCGATCGCCACAAAATCACATAGATTCAGGTAACCCTTGGAATGATACACCTTAGCGAGAAAGCGGAAGTTAGGTAAATGGAGGAAAAAATGTGGATTCCGATATCCGGTTAAAATTTTTCGAGATTTTTTACTAAATATTAGAAATACATTATCTGTCAAATAATTTGGTTATTTTATTATTTCTTTAGTGTTATTAGTTTCATTGACATGGAATACACAATGAAAATTTCAATTGATCGGTGCAATATTTTCGGATTTGAAATAGCTCTCCCATAAGGTCCTCATTTACACCTACAAATTACCTATCCCTTTGATTGGCCCAAGTTAATCTGGCTTCGTTTAATGAAAAAAGGCTGTAAAATACTTAAAGTAAACAAATCTGGTAAAAAAAAATTCAAATTTGGTTCAAAGGATACAGCCAAAATTTGGCATGCTTGTTTGCAAATTATATTATATTTGTTTGTTAATTTCATTTCATTTCATTAATTTAATTTAATTTAATTTAATTTAATTTAATTTTATTTTATTTTATTTTATTTTATTTTATTTTATTTTATTTTATTTTATTTTATTTTATTTAATTTTATTTAATTTTATTTAATTTTATTTAATTTAATTTAATTTTATTTTATTTTATTTTATTATATTTTATTTTATTTTATTTTTTTAATTTAATTTTATTTTATTTAAGTGCTAAGAAAAGAACTTATATGGACCATGATGAGAGTGGGTCATAGAAATCATAGGCACTCCCCAGCTTAATTGTTAAGAAATATATATCTACTATGTTTATAGTATAGTAGATATATATATATTTTAACAATTAAGCTGGGGAGTGCCTATGATAGAAATCTTTTACTGACTGTGCCACATTTTTTTTATGTTAATATATCTAAGCAAACAAACGAAAAAATATTATTGAAGAGGAGGCAGGGCATAATTGGTTTTCTATTGTATAGAATAAAACTGGCAAAATTACGAGTTCTGGACTGCCCGGGTGCCAGTTTCTGGAAAGAAGGGTGCGGAGACAGAACTATAGGCCCGGGATAAGGACCATTCTTGAAGTCAATTTATTACAAAGAAAATGAATAAAATCTAGCAACATTCCTTAAACAAACAAACAATCGCAGGTGCACGAGGACAAGACCCCCCCCCCCCCCGACCCACGGGCCGTTTTAACTTTTCCAGTTCCTCATAATTAAACTATCTTTCAATGTCATATTTGTGATATAATCCAAATTCGAAAAATAAACTTAAAAATATATAAATAATTTCTACCCACTCTGTTTTAGGTAATTTTTCGAAACGATGTTATGGATTATATCACAGATATGACACTGAAAGATAATTTATGAGAAAAAAAGTCGAAACGATATATTTTATTTTATGGAGAAATAAATGCAAAATTAATAACGAGTGTTTTAAAAGGGTGCGTTTGCATACTTTTACTGGATTCCTAAACTTCATGAAAATCCTTACAAAGATACATATAGCGGGTTCCAGTAAATGTTCTATACCAAGCCTCTTTCTTTACTCCTCACCAAAATATTACTGTAATGAGAGGAGTACTGTACATCAGTATATTCGAGAAGTGGTGTAAATCACCTGTGGATACTTATAAACTCCAAGGAACTTTAAGAAAATTTGAAATCACAAAATTTTACTAAAATCAATAACATCAAAACGTACGATTTTTTAACACTTTATACAACCATTCCCCAAGATAAATTGAAGTCCAGACTTTTTAACATCATAGACAGCTGGTTTTTCAATAAAAATGGAACTCGTATATATACTTACCCTGTTACTGGTCATTTGCAAGCCAAAATTATGTTGTTAGAAAACATTCTGATTGTACACACAAGTACTCTGAAGTTGATATTAAAAAGATGCTTGAGTTTCTGATTGACAATATCTATGTAGTTTTTGGAGATCAGGTCTTCCAACAATCTGTTAACATTTCCATAAGTGCCAATTGCGCTCTGTTATTAGCTGACCTATTTTTGTATTCACATGAAGCAGAATTTATTGAAAAACTTCCACACAAGAAGAAGAAAACACTTGCTGTGGCCTTCAACTCGACATTTCGACATATCGACGACGTATTATCAATTAACAATAGTTACTTCCATTCATATGTCGACTCGATATGTCCCAAAGAGCTTGAAATAAAATATACCACAAAGTCTGACATATCTGTTTCATATTTAGATATTTTACTAGAAAAAGACGTTTATGGTAACCTAACAACAAAGCTTTATGATAAACATGATGACTTCAACTTTTCATTCGTCAACTTTCCTTACTTATGTAGCAATATACCCTTGTCGCCTGCATATGGGTTTATGTCTCTCAGTTGATTCGATACGCAAAAGCATGCTCTACGTATGAACAATTTCTAAATGAGGCAAGCTATTGGCAAACAAGTTGATGAAACAAGGATATCAATAGTCTTGTTTGAAGTAATCATTTCGCAAGTTTTGTGTCGATACAAAGACCTTTTCAGCACATGCAACCTATCATTCAGTCAAATGCTGACTGACTTTTTTCATACTAATTGTTAGGCCATTACTGTCTACGGATTTTTCCTTTTTTTCTATCACGACAAGGAGCACACGGCGGTGTGACCGGTCTGCAGGGTATGCTCACTCCTCCATGGCACCTGATCCCACCTCTAAATTTTGAGGTCCGTATTTGCTCTGCTCCAAATTTGTGTCGTTTCATTGGACTTTCGAGATTGAATACTGTTCGTTATCTTCATATTTCATTGCACCCAACGCACCCCTATAGCCTTGCCCCCCCCCCCCCCAATACATGTATCAGCCAAAACTTTAACATTATTAAACTCTCTGGAACAGCCTGGGTTTATGAAGTGAAAAAGAGAAAAAGACTTTATAAGCATTTAATAATTTCATAGAAGTCCCATTCTGCGTTCTTGTTTCTTAAATTTGTCAGTCACTCAAGATCACAGGTTCCTGCTTAACATGAATAAATATGCATAATTTTGCGTTATAACGCGAAAGTTTCGCGTTTATTCGCGAAACTTTCGAGTTATAACGCGAACAAATATTTTTTTTTTAACCCAGAAAAATGAGCTTCGTATTTCCGTATACCCTAACAGTTTCGAGTTTAACATTTATCGCGCGAAATCTTTTTCCGGTTATGACTGAGTAACGATTCAACAAAGTACTGGAACTGTAAGGAACTTTGCAGGCTTTATTTTGTTATTATTAAGCTCCATTTCTTAGAAAATGCATGGAAACCACGCAGAACAACCAAACTCTCAAATTATAATAACATAATTTCCGATTTATTTCAGCGAGATTCGTGGAGACTAAAAAATGGTACTGAACATCTCAGTACAAAATTTTTAGTCTCGACGAATCTCTATGAGATTGACAGGGTTGGGGTCAATTACTTTGAAATGTAATTAAATACTTTCAAATACATTGAAAATTTTGTCAATTACTTGCAATTACAATTTAATACATTGATTTTTACAAATGTAACAGTGTAATTAATTACTCTCGATTACTTTGAAAAATGTAATTAAATACATTTCAAATACTTTGGTTTTACTTTCAAAAATCTGAAGAACAAATACATGTAAATTTAAGGTAGGGGGAATATTTTAAAATAAATAATGTCAGGTGCCTGTCATGTTTGTGTGTTTCATAAACATAAACCACGTCCTACGAGTTTATGAATCAACCATAAAATACTCTCAAATTATTTCAGCTACAGGTACATGTAGGCAAGATAAACACCTTAAATTGCAAATGTTGACAAATAATACTTGTTTAAATACTTTTAATAAGTAATACTAGTAAATATTTCAGATAGCAAATGCATACATATATATTAAGATCTGTTTAAATGTTAAAATAGTGATTCAATATTGATTTTTTTTCTGAAGTATATGAATTGTAGAGCATTCTTAATAGTATTTAATAAATCACCTCTAATGATCATGGTAAATATTTCAGATAGCAAATGCATACATATATATTAAGATCTGTTTAAATGTTAAAATAGTGATTCAATATTGATTTTTTTTCTGAAGTATATAAATTGTAGAGCATTCTTAATAGTATTTAATAAATCACCTCTAATGATCATATCTTTGAATTTAAACAAAGCATGGTATAAAATTAAATAAAACTTTGGAGAGTTGTTTTGATAGCAATTAATTTACAGTTGGGAGTCGAAGGGGCAACAAGGCAGGTCTTAATGACACATTAAATTATTTTCTATTCTTTTTTGATAATCAAGCAACAAAAAATTGAAATGTTTCATGCCTATACCAATGAGAGGTACATAGAACAAAATTTTTGATAAACATTATAAAGTAGCATTAATTCTTTATGTGCATTATAATTATAAAACAAACAAATATTTTTTTATAAACAAGCAAATCTATCAAATTCATTTATTGAGCTATAAAAAAAGTTAAGAATTTGAAAAAAAGAAGGGCTTCTTTGAATAAATTTAAAATAACTTTAAAATGTGACTGTGTTGGAAATATTTTCCTATTAAATACACATGATATGTATTATGTAAAGTAATTGAAATGCAATTGAAAAGTAATTGAAATTACAGGGTATTTTTTTCAATGTAATTAATTATATCCAATTACAAGTAATTGAAAAAAAATAGTCAATTACAAATTACTTCCAATATACTTTGAAAAATGTAATTAATTACACTCAATTTCAATTACTTTTTTCAATTACCCCATCCCTGGAGATTAATATCTGATATAACAGTATAAGATGTATATCGAACTGGTGCAGTTCAATATATGAGATTTTGTCATTTTACAACAGCCAAGTATTACATGAATTGTTTTTGGTAAACATTGCATTCATTAAATTTTTTGATCAGGGTATTATACCCATCAGATTAAGAAAATTAGACATAGATCATAATCGTTATATGTTTTACGGTGTGATGGTTGGGGTGAGTGTAGTTGTAATATCAAAAACTTGTAACTTTGTTCCACCTCTTCAAACTTCAAGCAGCATGAGACACAGTCTAGTGTGTGACATCACATGTTAGTTGCATTTCCATAATGGAGTTTACAGTTAAAAGTTTATTTTTTTAATGAAAGACATTGTACAGAAGATGGAATAATTTTTCTTTCCACAAGAACTAAATCTTCATGCAATCTAATTAAAATTAGATGTTAGATCTGCTCGCATACTCGCTACACTAACATCATGTTAGTGTAGTGAGTATGCGAGCAGATCTAACATCTAATTTTAATTGGATTGATCTTCATGATAACTCATGGAATCATGGTAGCAAAAGAATTCTGGGAAGATTTCCCACAAAAATTTGCCTGACGAATGTGCAGATTTCATTCCTAATTTTCTCTGTTCTTACACAGTAGGCTATAGAGTTTGCTTTACGAACAGCTCCGCTATGCTCACTGTTCTTGCTATTAAACTTTACATCTCCTTTGAAGGATACAATGGTTAATGTGGATAAGGGGATACTGGTGGAATGTGATCCTGCTATGAAACAATTTTTGCTACAATTGGATGACAAAAAAACTCTGGGAAGAAAGTTTGTTATCAAGGATCTGGATGAGACTCATCTGTTTATCTCGGCAGAAATTCTCGATACACTTCAAGATCAAGTGGATGGACTTATGGACAAACTTTCATTTCCATTAGCAGAAAAATAAATGTGAAAAAATTCTGTTGTACTATTAACATTTTTTCTCTGTGAGAATAGATTTTTCTGACATATAATAAATTAAATATGTGTGAAAATAATCAAAAATTGAAATGGACTCATTTAAAACGAAGACTACAACCTTCACATCCTTTATTTGAGGAAGGCAACATTGTGTGTTGCTTGTTAACAAAGCAATTTCCTTTTGATGTGTCAACAGAGGAAGAATTCTTTGAGCAGTATGTTGCATTTCTTTACAAAGTATTTTGCAATTTCCTTAATTCTTCATGTGAGTGTAAAATATTCACCCAATGTACTTATTTGTATTTACAGAGAATCCTCTGCTATTCCATGTGGCATATCAGGCTGCAGTAAAATTCTTGACAGTGTAAATAGGTTAGTTTCCTCCTTTTGAAAAATTTAAAGTGGTTTTTCACTTTTATCTGAAGGTCATTGTCTTTGAAATGATATTGATTAAAGGCTCTCAGATTGATAGAATGTTTCTTTTTTTGTTCACATGAGCCAAAGGTTCAAGTGAACTTTACAAGATCAAAGTGTCTCTGTCTGTTATATGTCGCATGTCAACTTTTTACATTTTTGATTTTTCTCTAGAACCACAGGACCAATTTCACCTAAACTTGGAACAAAATATCCTTAGTCAAAGATGATTTGTGTTTGTTAAAAAAAAAGTGGAGATACTTGTAATTAAGAAGTAGTGAAAGTGTGAGAGTTATTTAAAAATATTATGGAAATCCTAGAGACAAAATTTTTAAAGAAAATAAAAACATACCCAAAGCTTTGATGGTTAGTATCAATTAAAGTTTAATTGAATATTTTCCTATATGGCAATGTGAGGCTACAAAAAGGGGTCAACCTATGCAGAAAAAAATCTTTTTTAATCCTTAGTTCTGATGAAGAAGGAGGCCAAAGTTACTCAAATTAATATGCAAGGACACATTTCCCCATGTGCTGTAAATTCAAGTACACTGTAACTTCAAATAATGGCCTTTGTGGTTAGGTGTAACAATAGAACATAAGGTTTTTATGAGAAGAATGTTTGAAAATCTCTAAGAACAGTAGAACCATAAGTAATATTAGTATACAAGCAGTGCAGATGTAAATTTTTTCTAATCATGATTGCCAGGTTAAGGGTGGAGTAACAATAGAGAGTCAAGTTTTCCGTGGAAATCTATTGGGATTAAAAATCTTTAAAAATATAACTCTCAAGAACAGCAGGGTCAAAGTTACTCTTATTCCAATGTAGAGAAGATTGATTCACATTTGTTAAAATTATGGGCAACCGGGGCCAATTCCAGCCAAACAGGAAAACAACTTGATGTAGAGATTAGACATATGAGCAAGCCACAAGATGTAAACTTCACATTAAAATTCACTATATACTTTAAACTAAAAAATGTTGAATTAATGGACTTGGAACTAGAGACCTGAAAAAGGGTTTTATGCAGGAAAGGATGGATCAGGTGAGCTTAAGGGCCCATATGCAACATTTTTATACCTCCGTAACAAAGATTCAGGGGTATATTGTTTTTGCCCTATCCGTCCATCTGTCTGTTTGTCCGCAAAAACTTTAACCTTGCCCATAACTTTTGATTGGTTGGAGCTATGGCTTTCATATTTCACATGTGTATTTCTTGTGACAAGACCTTTCTTTGGGTACCATCATATTTGACCTTTTGACCTTGGAGTTTGACCTAGTTTTGCAAAATTTTACCAAACATTAACCTTGGCCATAACTTTGAATGGCTGGTGCTAATGCTTTCATACTTCCCATATGTAATTCTTGTGACAAGACCTTCCTTGGGATACCAACAACTTTGACCCTTTGACCTTGACCTAGGAGTTTTACCTACTTTTGGAAAACTTTAACCTTGGCCATAACTTTTGAACAGTCGGTACTAAGGCTTTCATATTTAACATGTCTATTCCTTGTGACAAGACCTTCCTTTGGATACCAACAATTATATTCCATTGACCTTGACCTTTGAGTTTGACCTTCTTTTGAAAAACACCTTGGCCATAACTTTTGAACAATTGGTGCAACGGCTTTCATATTTCACGTGTATTTCTTGCAAGAAGGCCTTCCTTGGGCACCATTAATTTTGACCATTTGACTTTGACCTTGATGTTTGACTTACTTTTGAAAAACTTTAACTTTTTCCATATATATATTCAATGGTTGCTGCTAGGGCTTTCTTATTTCACAAGTATTTTCCTCAAGACAAAAACCTTACTTTGGATACAAACATATTTGATTTGCATTTGAGAAAGTTTAACCTTTGCTATAAGTTGCCATACAGGGGGCATCAGTGTTTCACAAACACATCTTCTTTTTCTCAGTTTCCTATCTAAAGTGTGTATTTAATTTCCGTTTTTGTACAAGGTTTTTCATTTTTCCTAAGAACCAATGTACCTGTACCCCCGATATTTCTATTGTGTATGTGTATTAATCTAGTGGTATAGTTTACCAGTACTTTAAGATACCACATTATGCCTTACACCATTAGATTTATTTTATCCTATGGATATTTGTTTTCTGATTTTATTGACTGAATATTCAAATACTGAATGCACAAGTTAAACATGTCTTTAACTGTTATGTATTGTATTTCCAGCTATGAGTTGCACTACAACAGCACACACAGAAATGTGTGTGGTCAGTGTAAAAGGAACTTTCCCACCTCCCATCTCCTAGACATTCACCTCCTAGAGTGGCATGACTCCATGTTTGATCTTCTGGCCTCAAAGTCACCCATGGTGAGACTAAGACAATTTTCTTCTGCTTTGATCAGTTTATATTATACTTTTGCAACAATTTATTGCAAAAACAGGTTGAAGAATTATTGAAAAAAGAGAAATCAAGAAGATTTTTTTTTTTAATTTGTTGTATCTGTTGCAGTTTCAGTGTTTGTTGGAATCTTGTGGTGAAAAGTTTTCTACACAAAAAGACAGAAAAAATCATGTGATCAAGTGTCATAAATTTCCCTCCAACTTTAGATTTGAAAGAAAGAAGAAAATGAATCAAGGGTTTGTATATAAAGATATTTATTTATTATGTATAAGCAGTAGAAATTAAAACCAAGTTCAGGCAAATTAATTTTCTGCATCTTCTAATGCAAGTGACGTTTGTAGAAGCATAAAGTACATAACTTTTTCAGCCTCAATAGATACACTCAAAACAGCTGAATGAGAATGCTTTCGAATTATGAGGATAAGATGCCTTGATTCAAATAATATTTTCAATCATCTTTAATATCTATAGTATCTCTAATCTTTTCAATTTCTTCCTGATTTTTTAACAATTTATTTATTCTTTTCATTTACAGTTCGTTTTTTTTTTACTTGTATATATTTTTTTAAATTAAAGATTAAGGCAGAGACATTGCTTTGTATAAATTGAAATTGGGTGTAAATTTTATACATATAAGATGGTCTTACAATTAGCAAGGAAATTTATACAGTTTTAAGACTAATTTTTAAGACAAAATGAAAAATGAAACGAATGAATTTGCTATATCTTGTTTTGAAACAGAGAAACGAGTGATGAAAGTATGGAGGTACAGATCTGTAAGCCAGACTCGCAAAGCCAGAGAGTTTTTAGCTACAAGTATGTCCTATTTAATTTGAATGTTTTCGGATATTTTGTAATACTCATGAGTTGCAATTTACTTTGCTCATTTTGAAAGATTTGAAAAGCTTTACAATGAAATTTAATTTTTTTTTTATAAGATGGAAATTTTCAACTTATTTTGGAATAGAAGAGAGGCCATGTTAATGAGTCTTTTCAAATACATTATCTCTCAATCACATGCAGATACATTAGTTTTTAAAAATTGTTTTTAGGTATTTATTTCTTCCTAGCCCAAAGAGGTGTCCTTCATTTTTATTTTTCTGATATCCTGCTTATTATATTATATCTAAAGCTTAATCAGGGTTCTCCACATTTGAAAATTTAACCATGGAAGAAGCTGTGCAAAAGGGAAATGTGATTGAAAGCACGAATATGTGTTTGAGCTTTTAGACCTCAATTAATCAATGGTTGATTTCACAATTTTTTTTTTATTTACCATGGCAACACCACAAGTTGAAATTAAAAGTCATTATACAGAATTTTATAACTCAGTGTAGTTTATAAATGTACCAAGTTTTATTTAAATCGGACCAAGAAAGTACGAGGACAAGCATTTTGAAAGAATTTCACAGAATCTTTTTAGTAACCATGGCAACATTGTGGAGAACCCTGGCTTAATTTTAAACATCGGTGATTGTTATGTATTGAGAGACCTACAAATAAACTTTGTTTTCGCAAACCCATATCTCTAATACCAAGGATATGTCAATGTGATAAGCCAGTCCAAACCACCATTTCTTTTTGTTTTTAATCTTGTCATCTTGAAGTCTTGGATACCTCAAAGTTTAATCTTGGTCCTGTCAATTTTGAGATAACAAGCTTTGACTGTATCTACATTTACAGAGTGCCATCTCAGATTTGCTTTGGACATGGCTCTGCCCTGGGGTTTCAGAGAGGGAGGGGGAGAGGAGGAAAGAAGGATCACAAGAAGCACTGGCACCAGGCCAAAAGGGGAGACAAATCTGCAGTGGACATTGAGTCTGTGGACATGATGGACTTAGCTATGGCACTAGACACACCAGAGGACAGTGCAGTGGATAGTTAAATGAAATTGAAAATTGGAAATTTGTTGTTTAAAAAAAAACTTTATCTAAATTGCATTTCCAATGTAGATTGCATTTTTTGAGAATAAATGTTTGATTTCTTGAAATTCATATTCATTGTTGATTGAAACAGTATTGTGTTGCACAAAGGAGGGGAGGGGATAGAAAATACTGTTACCCTCTGAATGATTAAACTATGCCCCCATCGAATGCCAATTCAACAGTCAACATTACTAAACAGTGGGTGGGTATTCCCAAAAAATTGTGTGGAATTTATGCACTTACTGTCCACCGTTTTATATTTTATTTGTACAAAAAAATTCAGTATAATATAACACATATTAGCATATAGTTGAGATTAACATTGAAAATTTTCACCCCTTGAAAACCATTGTCAAACTTGGCTCAGTTGACAATGTTTTTTTTTCTTGGGGGAGGGGGGGGGGTAAAATTTTCATTGTTACCCTCAGATACATAAAATATTTATATACAATATTTATTATATTGGTACTAATCAATGGCTCAAATAGACAAGACCTTTAAATTGGTATGAAAGACAAGTCATTTACCTTGTGATAGCCCATTTGCAACTAGCTCTGCATTTATTCATGAAACATTCATAAAAAAAACTTATTTCAATTTTAATGGGGTTAAGTATATTCTTTGCTGGACAAGTTATACTTTCCAAAATGCCATGCAAAAAACAGTAACTAGATATACATGAAGGACTTGGATGTGAAGCAACCTTGAACAAAGTTTCTCTCAAAAGTCAAGGTCTTTTCAAATTTTGTAAAGTCTTTATCCAGAGTATATTATCTATTCCTTATATCAAGTACCAAGTTCTTCCTTCAAAAGTAAAATGTTCCTTGGAAGGGGATGCATAGTGTCCATGAATGATCAATGTCAAAGGACAAGGTCAAAGTCGAAGATGGTGAGAATTCAATTTCTTGTCTGGAGTGTTTGTTTTTGTTTTCATTTATATCCTACCTAACAGAGTAATACTGAGTGAAAGGTGTACAGTGACCTTGAGCAGCTTCTATGTTAAAGGTGAAGGTCAAAATAGATCTTTGAATAAATTCCTTGTTTGAAGTGTCTTTAATCTATTATATAATTTTCTTTTTTACAAATTCCAGAATCAGTAGTACTACAATTATTAGCTTTTCTGAGCCAAAGGCTCAAAGAATTCATGCTATGGCCATTTGTGCGGTGTGCGTCAACTTTTTAGAATATGGGCCATATCTCAAGAACCCCTAAGCCAATTTTTTTTCAAATCTGTCACAGAGTATCCTTGGCCCATGAGCTCTCTTTTATACTAAAACTAGGGATATGACCCTTAAACAAGGGGAGATAATTAGGAAAATAGAAACAAAAGTACTGGTTGCTAAAAAATCTTCTCAAGAACCACTGGGCAGATTATCACCAAACTTACATACAAGGATTAGGATATGTTGTAGATTAAAAATTGTTCAGGGCATCACCCTTGGGCAAAGGGCGTGATCTCAAGGTCATTTCAAAGTTGACTAAAAATTACGATTTGTTAAATCTTTGATATTTTGCTTACTATAAGGACTAGGATCATCAAATCTTGTCAGTTGATGCATCTTAGGATCTCATATCATGTTGACTCAAAAGTAGGTTATAGTGACGTACTTTTGAATTTTGCAGGCATTTGTTTTCAAATTGTTTAAGAGGCATATTTTGGACACTTTAAGATCTATGATCATCAAATTTTGTCAGATGATGCATCTTGGGTCCTCAGAGTATGTCACCTGAAAAGTAGGTCACCATGACCTTCTTTTTGAATAATAAGGCTTATCTTTTTCAACAGATTTAAGGTCATTATTTCAGATACTGAGAGGTTTAAAATCATCAAACCAAGTAAGTTGATGTATCTTGGGGCCTAAAAACATATTTTTGAAAAAACAGGTCACAGTGACCTACTTTGAATTTTGCAGGCATTTGTTTTCAAATTGTTTAAGAGGCATATTTGGACACTTTAAGGCCTATGATCTTGAAACTTGGTCATCTGATGCATCTTGGGTCCTCAGAGTACGCTTTCTGAAAAGTAGGTCACAGAGACCTACTTCTGAAATTTTGTGGCTGTATTTAAATATTCCAGGTACTAATTGGCATAAAATTATTGAACTTCGTCAGTTGATGCATCTTGAGTCCTCAGAGTGTGTCAACTGAAAAGTAGGTCACCATGACCTACTTTTGGAAATTTATGGCTGTATTTAAATATTCCAGGTACTAATTGGATAAGAATCATTTAACTTAATCAGTTGATTCATCTTCAGTTCTCAGAGTGTGTCAACTGAAAAGTAGGTCATCATGACCTATTCTTGGAAATTTATGGCTATATTTAAATATTCCAGGTACTAATTGGAGAATCTTTGTACTTTTTCAGCTGATGTGTTTTGAGTCCTCAGAATGTGTCAACTTAAATGTAAGTCACAATGAATTACTTTCAGAATTTCAAGCCAATATATTATTATTTCAAAAAATAAGAGACTTAAAATCATCAAACTTTGTCAGTTGAGGGATTTTGGGGTCTCGAAGTATGTTTACCAAAAAGTAGGTCACCATCTTGGGTTGTCAGTGTTTTAACCAATGTAGGTCATGAAGATCTACTTTTGAAATTGTCTAAATAAACAGGATACTTAGAGGCTTCAAATAGATGTGACAGGTTATACAATTTATTAGAAGAGTGATTCAAGGCCCTTGGCCCTCTTGTATATTTTCTATAGAAGAGAGTGTGAAGTGGAACTTTTTTTTTTTTGCGAGAGCAATTCTTTGCCTGGGATAAAGATTGCATTTCCTTGCCATGGTTTCACACATACCGGTACACAAAATGTCTTCGTGCCCAAATACAATATTTCTTTGTAAAGTTGAATCAAATGAGATAGTGTTAATTATCTTACTGGTATGTGATATTGTCTCTTCGATGAACATAAAGCTCAAACCTAAAGCTCAAATAAACCTAAAGTTCAAATAAGCTTTTGTGATCACCTAAAGTATTATTCAGGAAGGACAAAAATTGAGTAAAACCTGTAGGAGGAGTAGCATTTTGAAAAATTGTTTACAGACATCCAGCCACCTTAACATGGCTTTAGCTCTTTTGGTTTTTGACCAATGGAGCTATAAAGCAAAAGTGTAAGCAAAGATTATGTTTTTGACCAATTTATTCAGCAAACATTCACATAAATCATACATCATTAAAACAAATTTTAAATAAATCTCATTCAATCTGACTCAACATTTACTTTAAATACATATAACTATAATAATACTATAACTTTGGACGGCATGTTGATATTAAATGTCACTGAGTTAACAGTTTATCACATAAAATTATCAATAATTCATCACATTACAGAGCACTGGTTTCTTTTAAATAATTCAATGTTCACACACAGTAAGAATAAAAATCTTGTTAAATTAACAAATAATTTTTGATATGTCCTGTTAAGTAACAGAATACTTTCACAAAGTTGTTAATATGTTCAGAGTTTGTTTTACACCTGCAGCAGAAGAGCCACACCTCCAAGAATCCATCTGCTTGGCTTCTCCTTGCTCTTGAGGTTGAAGGTCCAGACAAATGTGGGACCACGAGTCTTGGTCTTGTAGACTGGACATTCATAGATGTTCCTGGTGTCCTGTCTGTCCACTGGGATAGCCCTAATAAAGATGACTGGCATGGGTGGTGCCAATTCTTTGAGTCGAGCCTCAGCAATCATACCAGTCTGCATGTCCCACCTGGCTCCCTCCATGAACAGACCATGGACGTAGGCACCTTCTCTTGGCGGGCCTGCCATGTCTTCTCGGGACTTCTTGGTGACATCACATTGCAGACACATGCGATCCAATGGCCACTCATTTTTACGAGCCATCTGCTGCATAATGGCAGTAAGGAAGGACTGTGGATTGAAGAATCCTCCGAGCCAGACAGCAGCTGGCAACTGGAAGTCAGAGGACCAGGTCTCAAGTTCCTTTACTCTCAACAGAAGATCAGCATACCAAGCTGTCAAGCCAAACAGAGATGGATAGGCCTTCTTGTTCCAGCTCTCAGGAATGGTGTCCATGAAGAGGGCATTACCCAGGTCCTCCATGTCAGAGGTGATTGTCAATTCACCCTGTTGATTAACAACAAAAAGTATTAGAAAACTGAATTTCTGGTTACCGGTAACTTTGAATTCAATCTATATATTAAACACACAAGCCAAAAAACTAAGGTATGGCTGTAAAATTATCCTAACCTTCAATCCTAGGTCAAGTTCTTTCAGGGATCTCCTGATTTCACTAGTCAGCATGTTCATACGCTCACACTCCTGGAAGGCCACCAGTACATATGGAGTTCTATCTTCTGGTGGGACTTTAGCCATGACCTCTATCATGTTGAATTCTTCTGGCAATTTCTCCACAATTTCATCTAATATACCCTTGATCTGTGAATATTCAAACCAAACAAAAAGTTATTTCAAAACCACCAGAAGGGGGGGGGGGGGATCCTCTTTTGTAATTTACTCTAAAACTTATAAAATCCTTGGTCATTTAAAGGAAATGAGCAGTTACTGACCTTTTCCTCCCTACTGACTCCAGCCCCAGCGGATGCTCCAGAATCTCTAGGCTGCATTTCCAACACAGTCTTAAACAAGTTCTCCGATGTGGTGGTCAAGAACTCAATTTCAGCATTAGGGTGGAGACCATACAGGTAGGGGCTCTCAGGTGGCAGGCACTCATCAATGTAGTTGTGGTAGCCTTTGTAGTCAGAGTTTGGAGGGATGGGGAAGCCTGGAGCCAGGTATAATTCACCATCCAGCTGAAACAGAGAGGACACATATAGAGTTGCAATATTTTACATATATTTATAATGACCACATAAATGGGGCTTTGTTTTCACAGTTGGAGGCTAAAAAAGCTAAATCTTTAGGCAGACTGATAGAAGATGATAGAAGGTGACAGAAAATTCCAAAACATGACGAGAAAAAAATTGAAATTGTTGGTTACCATTTCAGAGTGGAGGTACACTTCAAGATAGGTCCTGCACAGCCTCCTATCCCAGTCATCTGTGATGTGACCTCCATACATAATCTCTCCAAACAGGTAC